GCTGCAACATCTCCCTGCAAGTGAGCTGCCGTCTTCATCTCGGCTCAGATAGGATGCACGGTTGACTGTGCTTCGGCGAGCATCACCTTTGCTTTGAATGGCGCGATCTTCAGCAGAAACAATATCTCGAGCTCAGATATTCTTGGTAGCCTGAGGCCCTGGTTTGGTGAGATTTCCCTCCTACACATCATTATCCTCTCCCTGCAAGTGAGCTGCCGTCTTCATCTCGGCTCGTATAGGATGCACGGTTGACTGTGCTTCGGCGAGCATCGCCTTTGCACCATGTCTGGGTATGGCGCAGTTTTCCGCAAAAAAATTCTCTCAGATATTCTTGGTATGAGGCCCTGGTTCGGTGAGATTTCCCTCATACCACATGATGCAGGAGAATCCATCCTTCAACACCATATTGCAACAACATCTCCCTGCAAATGAGCTGCCTTCTTCGTCTCTGCTCACATAGGACGCACGGTTGACTGTGCTTCGGCGAGCATCACCTTGGCAAGATGTCTGGGTATTCTTCTGTTGCGGAGCGCAGAATTCCCGCCTCTGGGACGTCGGATCGGCAAAACTGCCCCAGCTGAACCAACGCAATCTGAATCATTCCAAAGCCAGGGGAGGCCATCGCTAGTAGGTTGGAGGCCATGGCTATTAGGTTGGATGCCATTGCTATTTGTAACTCAAAAGAAGATTGTTGTTGTTGTTGTTTTAATGAGTCGCTTTCAAAAGGGTCAATGCTATGCCTTCCACGTCGCTTCTTGCAGTCTCAAGATGCCGTTAAAGTTTTCTGTTTGGGCTTTTCACTGTCTGGGAACAACAAACCCAACAACCTCGTTCTTCAAAGTGACCCAAAAAGGCCTTCTCTAAAGACACTGGCCGGGGCCGGTACAAAAAAAAGGGGAAGTCACTTTGAAGAAGCTGGAAGGCCTTTTTGTTTCTCCATCAAAGTTGAAAGCTCAAGTGACTCAAGTGTCTGCACCAAATACACGATCTTTACACCCAGCATGGGATGACTATAGTTCACATCCCAAGTGAAATCTGTTTTCAACTGGGCGACCGCCGCGTTTTGAAAAAATAAATACATTCGTGGTGCTTCGTCCAAAAGGGGTTCCCCCACCCAAAAAATACGCACACTCCAGATATGATACATTCGATCTGATCGCTCCAAGTCCCGAAGAAGCCTCGGAGAAGAAAGAAATCTAAGTAAAACCTGGTGGTGTGCAAGGTGGTCTAAGCATCCAAAACGAAGAAACACCAAAACAAGCGGCGAATGCACATCTGCCGACCTCCAAAGTCACCAAAACAGCCTGAAATCTCGAGGGGCGTGTTATTACCACAAATCACAACAGTACAGAAAAATGCAGGTACGTGCAGCTGATCAGGCTGCATGAGACGGTTCAATAGTCAACAGACTCCCTATGACTCCAAGGGGTACATACACAAATCAAAAATAGAACAAAACGCAAACGTCCTTCAAAGTGGATTGCCCCCCGAACGTGAACCGGTGAGCACCGAAAAGCATGTTTCTTTCCCGCTCTGAGCCCCAAAGGAAACCAATCCGTCCTCCCGTCCTCCCCACCTTCGCTTCCATCGGACCGGTGGAGCTCACCTTCCGGTCGGACCGGGTGCGGTCGGACTGGAGGGATGGGCATGGATGGACATGAGAACGGGAAGGAATGAGGACGAGTCAACGAACGAACGAATGAACGAACGACTGAGTGACTGAGTGACTGAGTGAGTGAGTGAGTGACTGAGTGAGTGACTGAGTGAGTGAGTGACTGAGGGAGTGACTGAGTGACTGAGTGAGTGAGTGACTGAGTGAGTGAATGAGGGAGTGAGTGAGGGAGTGAGTGTGGAATGAAAATGAAATGAAATGGAATGGAATGGAAATGAATATGAAAATGCAAATGAAATGAATGAGTACACTGCCTGAAACAAGTTCCCATCATTGGAGGGAGGGTAATGAGTCATGATGTACCTGGATTGAGTGATGATTGAGTGATGAATGATGTGCCTGGATTGAGTGAAATTGAGTAATGAATTTATTTCCTTGCGAGAGAAGAAAGTCATTCATGACTCAATCCAAGACAAGAACTGGAGGCCTGACCTGGGCAAGTGGGTGGTCATCAAAGAAACAAATATAAAGAGCAAATAATATATGTTTTAAACTTTTTATTGGGTATATCCGATTGTCTGTAACAGTGGATCAAAATGGTTAGTAAAGGCCTTAGTCAGACATGATGATAATTGTTTACTGACTGTGACAGGTAATAATAGGACAGACCCTATGTATATATATATATTATATACATATATATATATAAACACTGATTGGATCAAGATTTCCTGAGCAGCGAAGTGGGTGACGCCTGCGGTCGCGAACCAAAACACTACGCAAGTCGGTGCCCTGGCATCGCATGGAGACGACCTGTCCACCAGAGAGGGAGGTGAACTCACCCCATTCCCAAAACGGAAAACAAAAAAAGAAGAAAACACGCTCTCTCTCTCTCTCTCTCTCTCTTTCTCTCTCGATATGGACTGTTGGTCTTCCAGGATACCTTCGTTTGACATGTTTTGACCTATCCCCGCATGGTCAAGCTACACGATGGACCAAACCTTCAGGGAAGATCACCACCCATCCCCTGCGGCCCCACTGGCGGCCCCACCGGACTCGTCGCCCGAGTGGGACTTGTGGCTGGCGATGGAACGCCGCAGATCGCCTGGGCGAGACCGGTGGGGGAGACGGTCGATGAAATGAAGCCCTCCCGTATGAGCTGACAAACCTGACCAATTGGGTGCTTAACTGCTGACTTCTGTACTATACCTCCAGTACCACAGCCTCATACTAGTATGATTACCAGCACCACTATAAGTACTCTACATCAGTCAAGTCTACATCTCTGGTGTGAAAATTCGCTCCCCGCCCTTCCACCACCCCTCGGGGGAAGGCGAAACACCTCCAAGAACGGCCACTCCAATTCATCTGACTGGGTCTCACAAGGGGCCAACTGACACGTGGTGGCAACCAACCACGTGATTTTGGATGAAAAAATTGCGCACCGCAAAAAACTGCAACACCGCTGCAAAGTTCGTCAATGTGCATGATTGAAATGAACTTCGTTTCGCCACCTGTCCCCTGTGTCCAAAAATATTGGAACTGTATGACCAAAACTCTATATATACAGTACAGTATATATACTAATAAGTGTTCTTGAGGCTCACCCATATCTACAACATCCTCGCTTTTCCCCAAAGTCGTCCAGGACACCTGCCGCTGAGCCACCATTGCTGTGCTCATCTCGGAAGGTCGCGCGGTGCGCGAGGCTGCGGCGGATTCCATCGCCGCCTGCGGTCGACTCGGTCGGTGGAAGGTGGTCGAGGGGCACCCTGGGTAGTGGGGATCTCACTGGCCGTTCTGAGCCTTTGAAATCAATGCGCCTTAAAAGGTCATGAAGTAAGGGGCGTCCATGAAGTCCATGAAATACCCCTCATGGGTGGTCTGGATGATCAGACTACCGCACTAGAATGTCGCTACCACGTCTGTATGTTTGAACCTTCAAATCTCTCACATCGTCAAACATCCCAAAAAGAAAGTGAGGTCTTACAGTCTACAAATGTCTAGAGTCTACAGTGTCTATAGTTCACCACTTATATTGAGCTGCTGGGCAATTCAGGAGGGAAAATATCTTGGTGCGTGTCATCCCACCAAAACAAGCTGAGTGGAACTCCACAGACTTCATTTCAACCACACCCAAATCAAGTTGCACTCCACATCCAAACATTGAGTATTTGGTTCTTCCACCTGGTGGAATCTTCCCACCTCATGGGCCATGGAGGTTGTCCCCCCTCAGTCCTCACATTTCACCTGTTCCCCGCGCACGTACGCCAACGGAAACGGCTCCTGCGGTTTCACGGCGGCCTGGCTGCTGACGGTTTGGTCGGTCGGTCGCGAACGAACGGTTTGGTCAGACCATGTCAGCCGCAGTGTTGGCGCCTGCATAAGTGGCCTCCAACCTCATTGTGATGGCCTAACCTGCGTGTTCACTGGCACTATGGAACATGATATTTGGAGTTGTCAGCCAGAGCGGTGAATAGGAACCGTCGCCCAGCTCCGGCCTTGTTCGCGAACCCAGTGGACTTGCGATAGATTTGCTTTGGACGTCAATTCGAATAATTTGGCCCGGTGGATGTGCGTCTATGTGTCCTCTTCACGTTGGTCTTGGGGGTCCGGCCATGTCTTAAAGACACACCCATTCATCCAGTCTCAGATTTGGCTGCATCCAGGATCCCAGCCAGATGTTTTCCTTTAAGTTTGTGTGCCAGGTGTCCAACAATCGGAAAGAATGAAGGATTCTCTGAGTGATGCTCCAAAAGATTTACAGAAGACCCCGTTGCACCTGGGACACCGCTTCCCGCCCACCCCGGGGACCCCTGCCTTCGCCCAGGGCGGACGACATGCGCACGGTGGAACGTCGGGCGCCTCGCTGTCTCGACCGAGGAACGTGAGGAACGCGACGAGGAACGCGAGTCGTGCCGGGCGCGACGCGGTTGGAGCAAAGCGAGTGTACACAGTTTTACGCTACTAGACCAAGCTTTCTTTCGGTCTTTGAAGGCTGGGGATCAGAAAACTCGGATCGAGACTTCTGTAGCATGGTGATCGAATTGCTTGGAAGGGTCGTGTGGCAAAACAAATTGGTGCGTCGATGGTGCTGCAGGATTTCTCGAGAAGCCAAACCCTCCTCCAACGGTCTTTTTCCATTAGAGAAAACGGAGGACCAGCTGATCCCTGGCTTTTCGAACAGTATGACCACTGAGAAGAAGGACCACTGTGGGTTCTCAACCACATAGAACGAAGGTCCACTGACTGCAACAGACCAGCCTTCGCTTTGGCCCACGTTCGCCCAGTAATTAGTGGTACATATGGGATGGGCGACAGAAGGCTGTTCAACCTCTCTATTCTTTCCGATCAGCTGGAGCACAAAGCACTTGAAAAAAACGAAAACTGAGCAAGGTATTCAAGTCCCCCAAGAAGACGCCCCCGCCACCCTTGGTCTCGCTCATCGACCGCGTCCAGTCCGGCTCATCCTCGGCTCGTCCTATCCCCATCGCTTTGGTTCTCTCCCGCTGTTAAACCGTGGATGAGGATGGTGTTCGGTTATGGCGGCCTTTCTCAAGAATCATGTTTGTTCTTGTTCGTCTTCCTCTGTTCTCCTTTGGGAACATGCCCATCGCCGTCGTCCGTCGTCCGTCGTCGCCTTCATCATGGATGGAATAGACCTCCCCACCATCGTCGCTGCGGGTCATGGCACTGGCCCGGCGCAGATCGCCTGGGTCGACGGAGATGGCGACACCGGTCTCGGTCCACAGGTCGCAAAGCAGAGAGGTTCACTGTCTGTGGATGGTGAGAATGAGCACAAGACTAGCTAGTACAAGAAAAACTGCCAGTATGTCTAGAGGAAGGCCCAAACTAGAGAGAACATGAGAGCACCACATACAATGTTCTTCAGGTTGAGGGGGTTTCCAAGCTTGACTTGCCTCCAGCTCAAGAAAGTGGGGAACACCCACCTTGCGTAAACCCAACTAGTGAATTGGTTGGAAGATGCTCTATGCTCTTCTGTCCGTCTACCAACCCAGCTGGTCAGCACGTAAAGCAAATAGATACATCTTTTACATTCATTTTACGACACCATGTCAGGGATGGTCGAAACCCTCTCGGCTGCACCAGTCAATGGCGACCGGTCACGGGGTTCTGCCCTGCCGCACCTTCCTCTTCTCGGTCCGATTTCCGCATCGCCACGCTCTGTCGAACATCTCCTGGACGCGATGAGCGAAAGCTCCCGCGTCATGTCACACGTCACGGTGACCGTGACGTCTGTGATGTGCTGCTTGAGCGTGGCGGAAAGCGGGGCGGATGAGGCTCATGGACTTCGGGTTCACAACGGGAAGTAAAATTTAAAGTCTCCAGAGCTTGCACGTCAACTTCGTCATGATTGCTATGATTGCTTGCGTCAAGTCTACCAGTCAATTTAGAAAGGTTGTGTGCTTGGAGCCAGCGTCTCTCCACCTGAGACACTTGACCTCTTTGGCTAAGAGCCACTTCAGCTGAACTTCTTCGCTCCATCCAATCGCTCCTTCCAGGCTCTTCCGCGCCACGGAACGGCGATCGCCGCCTGGCGACGACCGGGAAGAAAACCCGAACCTGGGCCAGAAAGAAGGGGTGCTTCGGGGATCTCGGAAGTAGGGAGGCAAACCCAGGTGATTCCGACAGGAAGCTGGAATGGGATCACGTTGGAGCTCAAGACTTAAGACTTCTTTTTCAGCCACCGACTTGTGGAGGCATAATGCATATCCAAAAAATGCAAATTCATATCATAAAATGCATATCATGTTGTATACCTTTAAAGAAAAAAGGTGCACATCACAAAATGCAAAACTTTGTTGGATACTTATCACATACTAAAATACATATGGCACATCTTTGGGGGGCTTCGGCTAGGTCCTGAGATGTGTGCATGCCCAGTGACGATGAGTCCGGTGACCGTCGTCGGACCGGTCCGAACCGGTGTCCGGTCGGTGACCAAGTCCGGTTGCAGTTAGAATAACATCACAATTAAACTAAATTAATAGCTTTTTGTTCCTAGTAGTAAGGCACTTGTTACTACTAGCGATGCACTTGTTACTAGTGGACAGGTGGGAGAACGAATGAGCACAAGAGCCTGATGTTGACTGCTCATGGACCCTAAACCTGGGTCTAAGCTCTCCATGTGGGGGGTGTCCATTCCTCAACCGTCAGCATCTTAGTGGTTTCAGAGCAGTCTATAATGGGGGTCTCTATATATAAACCACCTTTTGGGGATTGTGCCATTTACTCTGAAACCACTGCAGTTGAATGTGGGTTCCCCTTGGCAGTCATACTCCATACAAAAAGACAACGCCCCCCCAGGCCTTTCTGTGGATGGTCAAAAGCATCGGTTTTGCGAATGGTGCATGGTAAGTCGACGTTCAAGACAGCGGTCTTATCTCCAAGTGTTCCTTGCAGAGTTCATGCCTGGTTGTTCAATCTCTGGGTTTTGACCTATGATGAGTTGGGTTTTCAGGTGCTGTGGTCTCCAACTTTTAGTTGAAAACCTGACATACAAACATACAAAACCAGCAATGTGAATATCTCAGAGTCGATCTTGGATCTTCACCCCAGAATACTTAGGATGGAATGGCCCCCATCCCATGTCGTTTTCACGGTCTCCTTCCACTCCTTCAATGCCCTCGAAGTCGTTCACATCGCAGGACATACGGCAGACGCTCGGCGGCAGCGTGCGGCGGTAGCCTGCCGAAGCGCGCGTGGGAAGGCTAGGCAGTTGCGGCAGAAAGAAGATACACTCAGATCATCTCAAATCACTCAGCCAAACCGGGTGACCATCGCCGACATGCTCCTCCGACACCCTCCCTCCGACACAGTCCATTTCCGTGGTCCACTTCGGCCTCCTTGGCTGCCGCGTTGGCTCTCACGCTTTCCTGGAGCGTGGCTGTCAGCCGACGGTGGGTCATCAGACTAGTGACTTGCGGGGAAATGAGTCGGAAGGTTTCGGGGTGGAACGCCCTGTTTCGGAATAAGAGTCCTATGACATTCGGATCAGATCATTGACCTTTGACACCCCTCATTCCATACAAGGGGAAACGTCATAAATGAAAGCTGCCCATCCGTCTCTCTAAGTGGTAGACTGAGGAGTACATCGCCTCTCAGATTGTCGTTCTCTATTCGGGAACCACTCGAACTCTAGGATTCACATTCCAAGCGCATCTGTTCTAGGTTTGACGCTCTGAACCGCATCGCTTGACCAAAAGATATCCATCCACATAGGCCACCAGGCCTTCAACCGCCGCCCCAAGCGCCGCCCGTCTCGGCCTGCTTCGCGCTTCTCGGACGCACAACGAGAGCAGCGCTGGCAGCGGGAGCAGCGGCTCCCGCTGTGCTTGGGGTCGTGGCTGGAGCTGCGGGTGTCACCTCGGCCCAAACTGGAAAGGGAGTGGGAACCGAGACCCTAAGTTTCTAAGTGAGCTCGGCTTTCAACCACCCACCACCCACAAGCATGGTCTTGTCCTATCAAAAACAGGGGGTTCAAATGGGTTCCAGGAAGTTGTACCCCTCTCTGCAGGTTCATCTCGACAAACAGGGCTTGCCGAACTGGTACAGTATATATGGAGTCTTTCTAGAGGGTCTCCACAAGTCTCTGCACAGGTTATACCCACATTACCCATGGGTCAACCAAGAACCATGCAAAAACGCGTCCTGCTACGTGGGTGTCCCACACACCCAGTAAGGGCCGCGACTCTTGAAGGCTTCGTCAAGGGTCCTTTTGTGGGATGCCAACAAGCATTGTTTCATGCGTCTTTAACCAAAGAACCATTGTTTTACTACGGATGTTTTTGACTACACAACCAATTCGGCCATTCTTTTAATGGTCTTTGAAGGCTTGGGCCCTACTCAAACAGGGATGAGCTTCGGTGAGCAGAACTCAACCCAACCCACGGACCGCGTCTCCCTCCGTCTGCAGAAAGCCCATGGGTCCAGTTCACTGGGCTTCAAGGGGTAGACCCCGGACCAAAATGAGACCCTGAATTGCCCGAATCAACCCAGAGGACCTAGAAGGTCCTTGGACCCGGCGTCCGATCATTTCTCTTCCATGCCTCACGCTCGCTAATTGGCGTCTTTCACCGGAATCCGCATGGGGCAGGAGCAAACCTAGCAACACCCCAACAATCCCCAACAAAAAGAAACCGGAATGATAGTTGTCCTCAAACCCTCTTGGGCCCTCCTCCAAACTCTGCGCACATAGATCTCAGACCAGAGCAGGAGTGACGGGCACCTGATCATTGCCACGAGACAGGCGTTGGCGCCAAGGGCACCAGGGTTTTCATTTGGGTGTGCTACATCGGAGGTCCATTATTCAGCCCGTTGAAGGACAGCGCGGCTCAACTACCCAGACGAGCAAGCAGGCCGACGGGTCCCTTAAAACGAGGATTTGAGAGTCCGGACCCTACTTATATAGGACGGTCCATGAGCGTCTGGGTGGTTTGTCTCATGTGGTCATTCTGTGTCGTTCTTGGTCCCAGCATGTCTCAGCAATCTTAAGGAGGAACTCGGTGCTCCACAAGGCTCGAGGCCCCAAGAAATCATGCAAAAAGCAGGTCCAAAGGGGTCCCAGCACTCCAACGACCTGCAGTAGCGTGACAGCTGTTGTTCTGCAATGAACTTCACACTTGCACCCGTCTGCACCACCGGTCCAACCCCGCGAGAACGCCGCGAAAGGCGCGCTTGCCTGGGTGATCCGGAAAGACCTGACCCCGCGAGTGGAGGTCAGACCCGCAACAAGGTGGTCGGGACGGTCGGACGGGAGATTCTCACGAAAGAGATCGCGGATAGACGCGGATTTTTTCCGAAAGAGTGCCACCCTCGTCGTCTGACAGCCGAGGAAAAAGCAAATTCTCTGGCCTTGAAAGAGGGGGTACGACGGAGGAATCTCTCCGGAAATCCCTGGTCCGAACTGGCCCACTCGGCGCTCTCCTTGGATCCCCATGAGCCCTCCAAGCTAGAACTGCGAGGGCTGAACAAACTCACCTCTTGAACTGGAAGGCCTGTTGGGGTGACCAAAGAACATCAACAGAGCGAATTCCCCTTTGAACTGGTGACAAAAGGAATTCATGTCTACTGTCTACTACCCCGAAACTCACCAAGGAAAAACCGGGATCTATACCAAAGAAGGACTATTTCCCCCACGTCGTGCCTGGCACAACTGCACCGCGGCCAATTCGTCCTCGAAGGGGTTCAATTCAGTAGTGCAACCTTCTTCAACCCCACGGTGTGAAAGGGTTCCCCGGGTTCCCGCATCTGCTGAAATCAGACCATATCAGACCTATCTCCTCACACGCTTGTCACACTCCTCAATCGCACCGACTTCCACTTCACACGTCGTGCTCCCGCCTCGGAGGCCTTCTTCCAGCGCCCCTCATCCGACACGTAGACCTCGTTCGACACCGGACGGGCGCCACGTCGGGGACGGGGGTCGCGACCCCAGTGAAATGAGCTCCCTTTGGACCTGCTTTTTCGGGCACACCTCGTTTCTAGGTGAGTTGACTAGCTTAGAGTCCTGATAAAAACACTTGGTGGTTCATCTATTTTCGATTCACCCACCGCTCAGATTTTCACCAAGGAGGTGTTGCCACCAAATGAGACCAGGTCCGTCCGCGGTGAGAGATGGCTCAGGGGTTGTGCTTTGGCAGCCGGCCAGCCGGTGGGCCGGTGGGGGTTTCTGCCAGCTCAAAAGCAGGATGTCTTTGCAATGCCCACAAAACCTTGGAGAAGTGACTCTGAGAACTCTGGATTCAACAGTCCCCACAGGATGTGTTCCAAAAATCCAAAGAAAAGCACCTCTTTGTTCCAGCTGGATTCAGCCTCATGCTCTTCGGATCCAAGGGATCCATGGGCGAACACCTCCCGCGCCTCGGTCTCGGCCATCGACTCATCCGAACTCTTCCTCGGCGCGGGCCACGTGACGGTTCGGTCCATTGAAGCATGTTACTAATAGCTTCTTGTTACTACTAGTAAGGCACTTGTTACTAGTAGCGAGGCACTTGTTACTAGTAGCTTCTTGCTACAAGCAATCTTCCATGGTTGGTTTTTCCATAGTCGAAACCATGGTTGGTGAAGCCTCCTTTTTTCATAACGATGGCATTCTCTGGTTGAAACTGAAGTGTGATCGGTCTTCAGCGATGTGGTGCATTAGGCAAAAAGAAGAACGGTGGTGTAGTCTTCGAAAAAAAACTATCTATCTATCTATCTATATATATATATATCATATCATATGTGTTTGGAATAGGGAAAGCAATAAAGGTGTACTGTACAGGTGTGTAAACCCAAACTGTACACTCTTATAGTATCTTACTATGATCCTTTGCATTTGGCGCGGTGTGTGTGTGTGTGTGCATGCAACAGTGCATGTTTATCGCACTGGATGAGGCCATCATGTGAAAGATCTGATCACATCTAGCATGGTTCCTCACACAGGTATGGGTTCACATGACAGGTTCCTACGTGTCCAACCCAAATTCGGTTTGCATTTTTATGGAGAAGCCCTTCCACCAATGGGCTGTACCATGTTGTACTGGGAGGTCTCCCGATCACTGGGGAGACTGATCTATTTTTCATCTGTCCGAACCGAACCCAGGGGGTTGCCCGGGACGTCTCCCTATTTGGCTGTGGGTCATGGCACCGGGGCACCCCAGAATAGACCAACTCAGAAGCTCAACCCACGAGTTGTTTCAGGGGCTCCGTTTGGAACCACGTGAGAATTCACCCGCAAACGACGATCCCTTGCTCCCTGAGAACTCACCCGTAGTTTCGACCATTTTCCTTTACAACCCATAGATTTCGATCCATGTGGTCTTCTGCAGGAGAGTATGCCATACAAGGCGGTCTCGAGCACGGCGGACACCGCGGTCTCGAGCACGGCGGACACCGTGTCGCGCGTTCGGCGCGGACCACAAAAGCAACCCAGCAAAAGAGGTTGAGAGACCTGAACTACGACCCTAAGAGTGACTACATACGAATAGGAAATAGTGCAGTTCAACCAAAACCACCCCCATATGCACTTCTCCCGTGATCTGTGTCCACAGATAAGGCACTCTCCCTGATGACGTTCACCTCACTTCACAGGCGACTCAACGCAAAGGAGCTTGAAACCGGGCCAAATGGGGTGGTGAACGAAACTTCTGGGGCGCTCAAGGCATCACAATGAGGCTCATCATGCGAGTGCAGGGATGGAAGATTTTGGATGACTTCTCCACTCTGAAGACCCGCTTTGGATGGTCTTGAGGCAAAAATGGGGTTGATGAGGATGAGATTGTTGTGTGAGTAAAAATGAGGACACTACGCAGTTGGACTGGTTGGACTTGGGATGACTTCGGAAAAGGCGGGAATCAACCACCCAACTCCAAACAAGACAGGGAGAACTTTCTACTGAGGATCTCTGGAACAACTTGTATTGTTTTACGAACCAACCTGAGAACGAGAAGATCCTTTATCTATACATATATATACATAGATATATATATATATATATACAGTACATATATATATATAATATGATCGAGTGTCCTTTAGGTATCATTTCGTAAAAAGAAACAAACACAAATGATTTAATGTTCGATTCAAATATTTATTGCAAAAAGCAATTGTAAATTAAAAAATGATAGATTTTGATGTTTTATTTATTTTGTTTAAAGATCTATTTAA